TACGTAGCCTGACATTTTAGTGGGAAATAAAAGATTGGATTTATGATAGGATTTGGAATGAAGAAATATTGAAAGCGCTTACGGATGTGAATATAGGAAGATGAAGTGAATGCTATCGTTTTAAACATTTCTACAATAATTTTTATAAAATGTTATATGTTTAAATTGCGAATAAACTATTATATGCCAATCATATTCAACTCTATAGCGAATATTTTTTTTTATTTTTTTAATATATTTATAATTATTTTTCAAACAAATTTCTCATAATTAAATAAATAAATGTAAATAAGACAAAGGCAAAAAATATTTAATAATAATAAAAACACTTCAATGAATTCATTAATGAAATTCATTAAGGAATTCACTGCCTTCTTTTTTGCCACATCCAAATTGACATTTAATTGCAGTTGCAGTCTACCTGGAAGCTTAATAATTTTCTACTGCATACAGCAGCGCATCTAAGTGATGCAATTGAGTAGTCGCGCCACTGAATTGAAACAACCGCAAAAAGATACGACGAAAAAAGTGTGATCAAAAAAATTAATAACAGCGAAACTGCAGATTAGTGTATGTAAGTAGATCTGATGCATCGGAATGTAAGCGCAACGTATTAAAGCAATTAGCGAATTTACCAAGATTCTCGTAATTGTGCATTAAGCAAATTGCAAATTAAATTTTGTAAGGATTTAATATTCGCTTAAAAGTAGAAAAAGTTTTTTTTTTTTCTGTTTTTTTAATATATACAATAAGTATGTTTCACACATTAATCCCAAATCAAAAACAAAAAAAATTATCATAAAAATTTACAATAAGTTGCCACACAAAAAGCACAGAAAGCAATAAAATATGAGATTTTTGTTATAAATTATAATTTGGGAAATTGGTATCTTTAGTTTTATTTTTTACAGAAATTTTAAAAAAATCCATTCGATATTAATTTAAAATTTTAACTCATCTTATGAGTTATGTTTTATACAAAAAACCAAAAAATTTAATTCAGCACTCAAAATTTTTTTTACTTCATCAAACTTATGCTAATATAATATATATAGACTCAAATATATATAGAGACAAAAAGTTGTGACCACTTAAATATATTATATATAAACATAAACATTACACATAAAGAAATATATATTATATAAAGAAATATATCTTGTCTTGAATCTGCAGGTCACTCTAGACAGAGATAGCCTGGTACACAGATTATATTTTGCAGACAAACAATAGAAACAAAATATATGTATACGTGAAACTTCAATCTGAAATCTGAATCCAGACTCTATATTTTATCCAAAAATTTATTTTAGCCTGCCAGGGTGTTGTCATATGTTTCTTCTTTGGATCTTACTGTAAAACAGTTAATACACGTGAAATGTTATAAAGTGGAAATGGTTAAAATAGTGAGGATAAAATAAATTGTTGCAGCTATTGATGCCCAAGTCGATATTGGTACTAAGAAGAAACCCGAATTGTACAAAGGAAAAATAGATTGCTATTTATACAAAAAGTCAAAATATTTGAAACAATTGATGTTTGTATTGTTCTTATTACAGACTAACTTAAGATTACAATATTTCTTGAAAAGTTTCCATAATTTCTATTCCTGGCAAACGGCAAAATTTCGATAGAAGTGGTAAGCGAAACGCCGTCACCTGTAGTCATACTCGCTCATATTTAGGATTTATGTTTGTACAAGTTACCTAGATACTAGTTATTTAATTTCTAGTAATCTAGTTACTAGTTATATAGTTACTAGTTATTAGTTATCTTGTTACTAGTTATCTAGTTATTTGTTATCTAGTTACTAATTATAAAGTTATTAGTTAACTAGTTACTAGTTATCTAGTTATTAGTTATCTAGTTACTAGTTACTAGTAAATATGCCCAGTGTACTACAGACGCTAAGATTTAATTATATGTTTATCGTATGAATCAATACTATCTTTAATCACTAAAATTGATATTGAAATTCTCTGAAAATTAACTACAAATGCGGCATTCTTTGTACAAAAAAAAAAAAAAATAAATAAATAAAATAAAATATGAATGTTTTTCGTCTTACCGACGGGATTAACGGTGTTTTAAATATTATACCGTAAACTCGTTTTGAATAATGGAATCAGAGAAAAACTGGCAGCGATTTAGGATTTAAAAGCCAATGATTGCGCCATGCTGTGAAATAAACAATTCCCTTAAACGACGAAAGGGCACCGAATGAAGATCAAAGGATTAAAATACGAAAATGCGTTTAAACATTGTATTTAACAAAAAAAAACCACATTTAACTACCTTAAATCCAACAACTAAAAGTCTTTAAAGACTTATTCTCTCCATGTTTGTTGCAGGACAATAACTGTTTTTATTAAACAGGTAGTTAGGTAGATACAGTGTATCTGAAATGATTGCCATTTACCATGACTAAAACACCTCTGGAAATTTGCTACTGACTTTGTAAATGCATTGTTGCGCTGTGGTTAGAGTTTTGAAAAATCTTTTTTCTCGCCTCTTTGTATTTCCCTTTTATGGTTCTATGACTTTTTTGCATTGTGTCACATTAGGAACCGGTACGTTTTAGTGACATTCTGCTGCGTTGTGGCTTCAGCTTTATGACTTTGGACAGGTACTTGATGATATTCATTTGCAAGAACCGTACAAGTGGATATATTCATTCATTTTTACTGCGCTTAAAGTGTTAAGTGACTATTATGGACAGACAAGGCATTCAATTAATTGTTTCGGAGTTTCGACTTAAATGAAGAAAAGTGCCAAGTTAATTATTATTGTTTTTTAAAGTTTGTTCTTTTTTTAAATTTGGATTTTTAATTTTTACTGCTTTATAAAAGTTACTGTGGTTATTGAAACGAGCCTTCAAAAATACACAATTCTTTCCCATCTATGATTAACAAGAACTAAGCAGAAGAACTCTTGATGATAACTGATTCGATTGATATATATATAATTCCAAACCCCCTGATGATGGGTATTTAGCATTACTAAAAACAGTTGTATGACCAGCTAAAGAATCAATTAATTAATAAAATAATAAAATTTTGTTGTAATTTAGTACTATTCGAAATACTTCTTTACTAAATACAATAGTTTATATTAAAAATTTAGTTTCTTTAGTCAAAACGGACATTAAAATTCAATTTAATATATATGTTAATATTTTTGATAATTGTAACTATGAAAAAAAATTTACTCTAACTAAAAGTTCTAAAATATAATTTTTTTTTTGGACTGTACATATTTTTTGAGTTACGACCGTTCAGAGTTGCAAAAATCGCACCTGTTTTCTTTTTCTTTCTTCTGATGAAAGTCATTTATATCATAAATTTTTTATCAATGCATAAAAAAGAATAGAAATAGAAATAAAAATATGATAAATATGATTTTTCGATATCTCAAAAACCAAACTCGATAGATAATAATACAGTGCCGATTCGTATTTATCTACAAAGTTCAAAAGAAAAATCTATAGTTTAAAAATGATCATGTAAAGCAGGATTTAGTAGCAGAACAGTATTACTGATATAGCCTGCAAGTAGATACCCATGGAAAGACTTTAGTGCTCTCGATATCTCAAAAACTAAACTCAATATATAATAATAGAGTGCCTATTCGTATTTATCTACAAAGTTAAAAAGAAAAATCTATAAAGTTTTAAAATGATCATGTAAAATAGGATTTCATTGCAGAACAGCGATACTGGTACAGCCTCTAAAGATAGAGCTAAGGTATCGTCTATAAGTAGATTAGGGAGATCACAAACCTTATGTTTAAATCACTATAGGCAACTGTTAAACAATATTGACATATGAAACAAACACATGGGACTATTGCTTGCTTCCAGAAATTGGGTGCCAAAAAAAAAGAGCTAAGCCATTCTCTTTGTAAGAAGATTCAAGAGGTTACAATCAAAGACTTTTAATTACTATAGTCGACAGTTATAAAATATTGGCATATGAAACAAACACATGGGACTATTTATTGCTTCCAAAAATGGGGTTTAATATATTTTAAAAGTTATTATTATTTTAAAATTATTTAAATCGATTGACTGGAATATAAATAAATTTTTGTCTGGTTTTGTTAATAATTTCTGTACTTTACAAGTTATTTTATTTAATTTCTTCTCTTAATCTTATAAAAAAAACTCTAAGTAAACAACAAATGTTCAAGTGTTGCTCCGCTGAAGTTTTCAAGCAATAAGAAAACACTAGACATTAACGCGGATGATCCTTAACTGACAGATTGTACAGTAACGAAGCTTAATGGCCTAAAAAACAAATAAGAAAACAACTGAAATCAGTGTTGGCAGCGTTAAGAATTCAATTCTATGGACGGACAAAGGTGACTGTGACTGGCTGAGATGCACAGTCGTAAATAATTTGCTTGTTTTAAAATCTTTATAGTCTACAGCATAACCAGTCCTTAAAAAGATCAAATATTGCAAAACAAAAATCACAATAAAACAAAAAAAACAAAAACTAAAAATCAAAATGAAGTTAAAACCGTTTATACGTAAAAACTGAGATAAATTAATCTTTAAGCGACGATTGAAAATAAAAAAGTAGCCATTGTCAAAAAAATGTTTAGTAATGGATTCGAAACTATATTAACGCGGAGGATCATGAGTGATCGAGTCAGACAGGAATGTTTTTATACACTTTTTTAAAGTTAACAAATGTTAAGATATTTCAATCAAATATTGATAATAATAGCACATTCGTACATCCAAATTTAAATCCAAATTTAGGTAAAAGTTATATATGCATATATAATTATAAAGCGAAGTACTAAGAATATTGCTTTCATATTTTTTTTATTTATTTTCTCAATCAACATTTTATGTAACAAATGCACCTTTTTCCTCCATTAAAAACTCAAACATGTGCACCACCAATGCAAGCCTTATAAAAGGTGTTGGCGGCAACATTTGCTTTCTAATTACTGTTCAATATATAACTATATGTAACTCTTATTACTCTTACCTGATGGTGGTGTCCATGATGGAAACCGGTCGCTTGCCTGTGGAATGCACTGTTCGCACCACTGCCAACGGCATAATTCTGTATGCCTGCGGCTGTTGGACGGTGCGGATGGTGATGATGAGGGTGATGGAATGCTGGCGTAGCTGATTGTATCATTCTATCCAAGTCTTCGACTAGTTCTTCCTTTGCTTCGTCATCTAAATCAAAAAGAGGCGATGGAAGTAAACCGACTTCGATCTCTGATTGTGGTAGATCGTCTTCGTTAGATAATTCTCCGTCGTTTTTGTAATTGTTGCTATCGTTATTGTTATTGGTGTTATTTTTGTTGTTGTTATCGACGTTGTCTTTATCTTCGATGTTTTTACCGTCAAAATCTAATTTGTTTAGTTGTTTGTTATTACTTTGAACACCAGCGGCTTTTGATGTAGAAGCAATAGGATCGCTTTCAACCTTAAAAATTAAATTATTACATATATAAATATAACAATTTTATTATTAATTTAATAAATTCAAAATATTTAGATTATAGTATCCACTATATGGTTACAACATTTTAATGATATTTCAAGATCAATGTCACAGAATGAGCATTGCTGTACAATTAATTGTAAATTGCAAGTGAATGACATATTCAAAATGAAATTAAAAATATTTAAATATTAAATTTATAAATAATAATTAATTTCAAAACAGACTGTGAATAATATATTTTTTTTATATTATATTATTTATTTATTGTTGTTGTTGTTATTTGAGTTAGTGCTATTGGGGGGCTTATCCCTGCCCCACACCAAACTTTTACTATACTAGAATCATTATCATTTATTTATCTTCTAACTGATGACGGACCGTAGATCAGCATATCTTCCTGTGCGTCCTGAGGTGGACTTAAGGTTTGTTAGGGCGGGGTTGAGAAACGTATCAATTTTTGTGAATAATTTAAGGACTCTGTCCTTGATATATTTTTTCACTGAGTCGATTCTTAGATCAGCATGTCTGTTGTTAAAATATACCAAGGAATGTTAATTAGTCTTCTTAAAGCTTATTATTTATATTATTTTGTATTATGATCGTTATACCATTTTATTGTTTTTATTTCTTTATATATTTAAAACTGTCATCTTGATTTTTAAAGTTACATTAATATAAATATAAAAAAAACGCAATTTAAAAAACAATTATAATGAAATTTTACCTCGTTGTCTTTTCCAGCCAACTCAGACAATTGTATAACGTCGTGGAGTAATTCGTCCAAAGGTAATCGAATATATTCACCTGAAGGTAGATAATAAATAAAAATTACACGATTGAATATTGGAAAAAGCTGTTTTATTTAGTAAGAAATAAAACGATAAATTTAATATATAAAAACTCGTATGTGTTATTCCTATGACAATTCCTAAAATTGTAGTTGGAGACAGATACTTTTAGTGAGAGCATAAATTTCATTGAAGTTGAAACTTAAATGTTAAAAATAAAATAAATTAATAAAATAAATAAATAAAAATAAATGAATGAAATGAATAAAAAATTAAAGCTTATAAATTACTTTTTAGTTTTGTTTTTATTATAATATAGTAGTCTATATAAGCCTGGAGTTGTAATAATACTCCGTCCTGAGGAAAAAGTCAAACAAATTTCCAAATATCAGCGATAGTTTCGCTATATAATAATAAGAACAAAATTAAAAACTAATCCACTTATAGATTTCACTTTTTTATTCACTTTTTATCAATTAATTTATATAATTTTATTTTTATATATTTATATTATTATATATATATTATATAATATTTATATTTTTTATATAATACTTTTATTTTTTGAAAGACACATTTTGACTACAAGTTCGATCCATGTTACATTTAGTAATGGGCAAAAAATTTTTTTTAAAAAACTTCTTTCTCGGGGTCTTATTTATTTATTTAAATTTTTAATAGAAGTGGCAAGTTTTTCAATCTGTATTTGCTTTTTAAAATAGATTATGACCCTGTTAACTATCACATTTAATTAACGTGAGAGTAAAGAATACCAAAACCTGTAGTTTCTATGAAATATAGCGTAAATCTATCTTATCTGTTCGTGCACTGTAATTACCTAAAAAGGAGTACAAATTATGGGAAATTTTCCTAACCTGACCCAGACAATTTAAGTTTATAAATAAATCTAGCAATATTTTTTCGTTCAAGATTCCCTAACCTCATTCGGTTTAAGTCCCCTTAATTTGACATTCATTGAATTGAATGAATTTGGGAATCTTGAACTAAAAAATATTGTGAGATTTATCTATAGACTTAAATTGTCTGGATCAGTTTAGAAAAATCTCTTAATGAATAACACAATAGATCTCATAGGCTATGATGTGCCATTTTCCATTCTAATAATAAAAACTGTTTTGATTAAACATTTAAGTATCCTTTTATGTTATTACTACCAGGGAATTTGATAGATTTTTAAGAGAAATACAGGTAATACCCAGGAGTGTGATTGATAACAAAAATCACGTTAATAAATATTTTGAAAAAATCAAAGTTTGTTTTGACTTCTGTTTGAAATTTTTATTTACAGAATAATGTTACTTTAGAAAAAAAACTTAGCTATAAATATAAAAAAATTGAAGGAATTATTAAAAATATTTAAACGAATTTAAAATAATACAAAATACATATAAATGAACTCCCTAGTGTATTGTGTTGCAGAGTTCGGTTCTGCATTTCTATTTCAAAGTAACAACTGCAGTTCTTCTTTCTTTTTTGATTTTACAAATAATGACCAGCACAAAATATTTTTTAATATTTTTCATTATGGAAATAAATTTAAAGCATATTTTGTATATTGTATTTTAGTCTCTAGATAATCATAAAATAAAAGAATGTTTTGTATGTCGATATGAAAGTACAATCATTAATCATAAAATTATTTGTTATATTCAAGTCATATAAGAAAGCAGCTGTAAATACTTAAAATTAGAAAAAAAAATTTCTTTTTACAGTAAATGCAGCTTCTATATTTATTAACTATACATGAATCTTGTTAATTAAAAACTGATTTTAAATTAAAAAAAATATCTGACAATAACTTTCTTCCTTTCGATTAAGTTTATTCGGAGTACACTTTAAAAACAGAAGCCAATTGAACGACGTAAGGTACACTAAATTAAGTAAGTTAGTTAAATTTTAGTAAATATTTAATATTTACTAAAACTCATTTACACTAGTATTTGCATTAGGTATTCATAGCGGTTAAACGCTTAAGGAGAATGTTGTTAAACAATAATTAAGCCCCCGTCGAACGAGTGAACCAACAGATATAGGTAAATATACAAGCAGAGATAGAATGTGAACACACTGTGAATGTGAATGTGAACAGTGAACAGTGACGGACACTTGTGATAGCGTATCCAACACTATCAAAATTTAATCTACTCTTTCCAACAAACTGAACGCGTTCAGTTCATTTAATATTTTATCAGAAAATTACTACTTAACATCGTTAAGTAAACAATGGAGAACTTGAAAAATTCCTTAGAAAATTGTGGGCGCTTTGCATCGAAAACACTTCGGTCAGGTACGACGGGACAAGACAAGCGCGTTCACAAAATGTGACAGACAAGCCAGAAGAGATATGAATGGTCGAACTCTATTGCGACCTTTGCTGGAAACCAGCTACTACCACTACCACTACCACTTCCACTCTTAAGCTGGGTGAAAAATCTAAATAAACACGCGTTCTTTTTTGTGTTCTAACATTATTATTATTATTATTTTTTTTTTTTTTCGTCTGCATATTATTACAATTTTTTGTTCACTAATTTCTCTCTTACAACAAATTCATTTGACCAATGTTTTTCTTGAGATTGGTAACAGCAAATACGTATAATAAAATGTTTTATTTTTATTTTCGTCTTTCGTTTTTGGTATTTTTGGTTTGAAAATTTTGTGTACTTAGCAGAGGCTTTCCTAACATGGCTTCCAATATATATGCAGCACCCAAACCCAAATCAAGCAACTGCTGTTGTTGTTCCAGATAATAACTCAAGTGTTTGAACCATGTTGTTTTAGCCTCAACGCTTTACAATTTACATTTTTGTTATTTTAGGCATTCTTTTGCGTTTTCAATTTTCGGTTACAATTCCTAAAATACATAATATTTGTATTGCTTGTTGTTGTTGTTGTTGTTGTTGTTACTGTTTATGCCAAAGCAATTGTTGGTAAGATACTTCAAAAGGTAAAGTAGACTAGACGGACGGAAGAGGTGCATTCAACCGACGTCTGGGGAAATATCAATTTTGTAATTTTTGGATATTACGACCACTTTACGTTGCTTTATGCATTTGTCACCAATAATTAAGGGCAGTTTTTTTTTTTTTTTTTCATAAAAACATTTTGACAATTGGCAGCTCAGTTGGTCAGTATAAAAGCCACTGTTGAAATGTATCAATAATAACATAAACTTTTGCCCGGAAGTGAACTTTTTGATTAAGCAGATGGGAATACATAACTGAAGAAAAACAAAATTTACAAAAAAAAAAAAAATAATTCTTTTAATGTTATAACATTTCACCTAACATTGTTTTTTTTTAAATATTCAATTATCAACGATGCTTTTCTAAATGCTACTTAGATAGACAGAATGATAGATGAAGACTGATCGTAATGCATCTCATAAAAAATTAGGCCACGTTAGCATATTTTGATACCATAAAGAAGTTTTATATAGTTGACTGTAAGGACTGCGAACAAGCATAACCACATTTTAGACCGTGAATTTATATCAGAAAAATAATGAAGAAAGTAAGATATATAGCGACCGTAAGATATATAATGGCCACGTAGGTATTTTAGACCAAGAAATCACTGCATGACTTTGATGAGATGTGTAATATCAGTTAGAAAAATAATGAAGAAAGTAAGATATATAGCGACCGTAAGATATATAATAGCCACATAGGTATTTTAGACCGAGAAATCACTGCATGACTTTGATAGATGTGTAATATTAGTTAGAAAAATAATGAAGAAAGTAAGATATATAGTGACCGTAAGATATACAGTGACCGTAAGATATATAGCAACATTTTTTGTCCCCTCTTTTAACCCACAACTTCTACAGTAGTCGTTGAAAACAACCTCCAAACACTAGTTAATAATAAGAAGTATGTTTTTACTACATATTTCATTAAGGCACTTAGTACTTTTCTTCATATATAAATTTAAAAACATACAAATTTTTGTTTTGAACATATATATCGGTATTTTAAATAAGTTTCTATATCTTTCTTTTTGAAACAGATTTTAATTTATATTTTATCCAGCCAGTTTTGACATTGTATGAAGGTGACCTTTACTACCTCTCTGTGCTCTTATGCCGCTTTTTTAGCCTGCTGTTATATAGTATGACATAAAACCCTTAAAGATCACAATAATCAACATTTAGTCAACTTATTTTTATTAATGTAAGAAAATTGTCATATTTTGATCAATAGTTTTAGAAGTATTATTCATCTGGTAAAATCTTACTATGTCATCAACGGTTCATGCAGTTATCATGCAGTTGAATTTTATGGTCAACTGGGAGGCGGTTTATAAGTGAATCTCATGTAATCACTTCAGATGAGTCTCACATGCATTGAATTATCTTAAAAAGATATTTAAACATTGCAACTCAAACTCCAATCTATTAGTTTTTAGAAGCAATTTGAATGAAATGGTGTAGATTAACAACATAATTGTTGAAATATTTACATATAATTCATTATATAAAGATTATTAATTTGACATAATTAAACTTTAAGGTATTCTACATATGCCTTAATTTAAGGTTTTAATACAATAGTGATAATTTTAATGACTATAACATAATATTTGGTTATAAGATCTGAATTTTTTAAATATTATTTTTTCTAAAAATATATTCAATTTAAGTCCAGAAATCTACTTATAAATAACAAATTGAAAATGCATCATCACGAGAGTGAAGACATATAAGATTTGATTGAATTATATTACTATATAAGACCAGCGGTAAAACAACCAATCAGATTCGGTGTGCTACTGTGTGATTCTAACGAGCCTTTACTTCCTGCTAAACCATTTGGTATATACAACGAATTTAGTTTTTTATATAAATGCTGATACTGAGTATCATACTGAGAAACGAAAATATAGTGAGATACATTAAGTCACAAAGGTGACAATGCGCTGCTCATGTAATAAGAATGGGGTCGGAGAGAAGGCCGAATAGCATATTCAACGCAAAGCCGATGACAACCAGGC